AGTCACATAAAGTCATATACTCCAGACTTAGCAGCGGAGCATCCTGTTGTTAGCAGCTAATGACAGATGTCATGTCATGTCATGATGTCTTTAGAATCAGTATTTTAGTCATTCTAAAATACTTGCTAGTTAAACCTCATTAAACTCTTTGCTGACAATGTCATCTGTCGGGAAAAATAATATTGAAAAATAAACTCTGGCAATTCTAAGGATGGATGGATAATAATGACTACAGCTACACATTGCTGGCAGCACAAACACACCAGAGACAGATTTGCTTTTGGCATCACATCAGCGAGGATGTTAGTAAAAACTGGAAATACTGTAATGCTCTCATTTAGTCTGTGACAGTCCATTATCTCTTTCTTCCTCGTCCAGGATTATAATGCAACAGTATCATTTTACTTTAACCAACGAGTTGATTCACGTCTGGACAGTTTTACTCTGGCTTGAAGAAAGGCATGAGATTCTGTGATGTAAGATCAGACAGAAACACTTAAAAAAAGACACGTGGTTGCCAAACTTGCTTTCACGAAATCCAGCAGATTATCTCTATTATCCTGACACAGAGCCAAATGTGTTCATGTATTGACACCACAGTGTGAGGCATGGGGGGGGGGGGGGTTGTTTATAAAAGCTCTGTCCAAACTGAGTATAGATGGAGAGCAGCTGGGCCACATGCCACAGGGTCAATAAGGAGTAATGATAGCTAATTAAATGGGACGGTGAATGTCCCCACGCTGCCTTCACGGACTGAACCGTGGTGCAACACGGCACATGTTATGTGATTCATCAAGCAGGACGTAAGGAGCAGCTCTGTTTGTGTCCTGCATCTGAATTTGTAGTTGCACGCCTTGACATGATTTAAAGCTGGGGTCAGTGTTGCTAAAATGCCATGCCTCACTGGACACACAGCAGCGACCCATTGGCATGTGAAATGTCACCGTGGCACATGCCAAACCTAAACACATCAGGTTCAACAGCAAGAGAGACAGAGGGTAGTGAGACAGGAGGGAGGACGGAGGAGGGAGAGGGAGAGGGGTGGGGGAAAGAGGGTACAGTGGATTATAGTATCCAAGAAAATTAGGAAATAAATGGATTTTTTTTCAGCAGGCAGCAGTTATGGAATTAACTGCTTGTTAATAAGACGTTCCATCATCCACATGAACGCTGCAGCTTTACAGAGCACTTCCAGACCGAATGGAGTTGGAGGAGGTCAAGCGCTGATTGGCCAGAGGTCTGCAAACTCATTATCAATCGGAAACACTTATTATCTGAGTGCCAAGCCTGGAACAACCCACTCTCTGGATCTGTTCCCCAGTGGCCACCACCCAAGTGTCAGTGCAAAAAGTCCTACAGTGAAAAGATATTCTGCTCCATTGTCAAGTCATCAGGGCGGTTTGATGTAGATGAACGACTTTAAACAAAGGTGATGTGAGTGTTTTTATGAGAACGATCTCAGTTTTATCCGTGACATCCAGACAAGTCGCCACCAACTGTTCCAAATCCATGGCACTGCGCAACAGGTTCCTGCCTTTGTTCGCCACACTACAATTACCGTTAAGGAAAGATTTAACGAGGGTACAGCTGCAGATGCAGAGTAAAATAACGCGGTCAAAGTGCGCAGAGAACAATGTGTTCAAACTGTCTAAACATTGCTTCAGATTCATCTGTTGCCCCTAGGACGCGTGAAACGCCAGTTAAAAAGCAGTGATGCGCAGTGGTAAGACTAAAGCAGCACCTACCGGGGATGGCCAGGTTGGTGAGCGGGATCGTGTGCATGCTCTGCGGTAAACTTGACATCCAGTCTGCGAACCGATGGTCGCTTCTGCTATGAGACGATGCCATGCTGCTGCTGTGCACCGCGATCCTTACGTTCTCGGGGACCGGCGCCTTTGAACAAACCCGGACTGTGCGCGCGCTCTCTCCCTCTCCCTCTTTCTCTCTCTCACGCACATACATATACTCCCTCACTCACAAACACACGTCAAGCACCCCCACCCGCCAGGGCAATACACAACCGCCGGTAGTACATTATGAAAATGCGTTTGGACGGATCCAAATATGGCAACATTAGATGGTCGCTTTTCCAAGATTACATAATAACAAAAAGGTGAAAAAAAAGTTTATTCCTTACTAGTTAAATCCAGTCTCAAACAATACTCAAAATTAATATTTTAAACAAAATACACAAACAAAATATCTGTTTCCACCTCATAAACCCATTTTTAAATTGCTCTGTTCATATTTTTAATACTACATTAGTGAATTTTAATTAATAAGGTTGATACTCAATTGCTGTATCTGGGTGTGCACCTGAGTGGCTGAAAGCCCTGTGATTCATTATTGTCCCCAAGGCAATGATTAATAATTGACATTTACTCTGGAGGTAATCAAGTGAATGGCCCTAACATGACTCATTCAAAAACTAGACCGGGCTACACCTAAGGATGGAGAGATTACCAGAGGCTGTGGATGATTTTTCCATGGTGTGCTGATGCTGATGCGAGGCTAACTCTGTTAATTCTTATTCTTGGTCATGATCTTTAGGCAGGTAGTTATGGTTCAATTCCCTGGAGTATTAAACACCTTTAATATCATGATGATATCATGTTCATATCTTGAATATGATTCAAAAGAGCCAGGGTTGTTCTGTTGCAGCTAGTAGTTTATAATATAAAAAAACCCACAATGAGATGAGTGTCTCATTATCTTGCTACGCTCAACAGTCCAAAACAAAGGGTGACGTGACACACCTTTGTTATGAATGTGTGTCTGAATAGTTGTTGGTCTATGCATGTGACTGCTTGGACCTCCCTTTCCCGTGACCATACGAAAGGAGTGGAGGGGCAAATCGTTCTAATGTGTCTTATTAAAGATGCTAATTCATCCTTTTTTTCCACAACGTTTATTTGCAGTTTGTGTAATTGTTTAAACTTCCTTCCTGAATTTCAAAAATTCCTAAATATTCTTGATATTTTTCCCGATTGATAGTAGCAGTGACATAGTATGTCGGGTTGACTTCTTCCTCTTAGCAAGTTAAACCTGTCTGCTCATCACATCTGCCTCTGCGTGTCACTTTGTCCTCTGTAAAAGGCAATCATGAACTGTATGAGCCAGTCAAGCTTTTTTTGGTGAAACATTACGTTTCATAAATATGCTGTAAAAGTACAGCGCTTCAGTCACCGCCCTTGGTTGATTCAATAAACTGGTGGCGACTGTCACTTTCTTCCATCTTTCTGCCTGACAATCACTCTGATCTTCTGGAAACCAAATCCCCACCGGCTGAATTTGTCAGTTATGTAACGACCCTGTAGTGGTGACGATGACTTCGGCATGAACGTAAATGTTAAATCCAACATTCAGACACAGGAGGCCATGTCAGACACATGTACATGTCAAAAAGCTTTACACTCAAACCTTTGTGTTTTTTTCATCTGATATAAAGAGATTAAGTCTATACAAAGGAACAAAAATTGATTGTACACAAGGAGACACTGAACATTTGTTTGGTTTAAACACAAAATAATGTAATACAGACTTCATACAGGAGGCGAAGTAACATCTGTTGTCTGAGTGAAATGGATGGATTGCTGATCAACTCTGCTCTGACACAAATAAAACAGAAACAGTAGGAGAACTAAGAGAGACACAATGATACTGCTTATTAGTTTGTCATAATACAATGAGTTATCGTATATAACTAAACTGAACCAACCAACCACTAAACTTTAGTGGCACAATCAGAGTATAAACCACACACTTGCACTTCTGTCGACTGTGGCAACGACTAACCTGTGAGATCGGCTCAATGCGTGCATTCGTTTATCACATTAAACCTTGGTTTCATTTTATTTTACTTTACTTTTCAGTATTAATTACATTTCTAAGAATAAAATAATTAAATAAAGACAAAATACATTTTGGTTTACAAGCGTATGTGACCATTATAGGCTGCTTTATGTTGTTGTTGTTGTTGTTGATCACAGAACTGAGTGACACAAACCAGAAACACAACTCAAATCCTTTGCGGCTCCTTCAGATTTGCTGCATTGGCCTCAAATTGGGGGAGACCTAAAATCCACCAGATGGGATGTGAAATGGAAAGAAGCGAGTCATGGTTATTATTCTCAAAGACAGATGGTGAACTGTGACTTTAAATCACAAATATAAGTTAGTCACCTCAAAGTCTGTGCCAGTGCAAGCCTTAATATCCTCAGGAGTGAGCCCCTCATGGACTTCTATCAGAGTGAGACCTTTTGTCTTGTCCACATCAAATACAGCCTGGGAGAAACGAGGAGGGCAAAAGGTGGAAGAGGGAGAGAAATCAGCAAGAAAGAGACAAGATTTTGTGACAGATTAGTTTAAAATGATTAAATGGTTTGTGCGTGGTCATAGGTGGAACATAAAACTTGTGTGAGCGACAGTCATAAAAGTGAGGAAGAACAAAGTTTGGACTGGTGGTTGATAAGTTTGACTTCCTTAACAGATGCAGGCACTCATGAGACAACCATCACATAAAACATAAAAATGATTTTGTCCCAGCTCCAGTCACATAACTCACCGAATGTTGTCCTTCTAAATAAATAAAATGTTTGTTCACACACTGATCTGATAGGTCAAGTCAATATCTCATTTGTTAATTATCTTCAGTTTACATCTGGCACCACATTCTTTGCCTTTTGTGCAAGGCACAGTTAAGTAATTGGAGAGTCTGAACTGTCCTTGGTGCTAATTTGGTAAAGTTGAAGGTTGGTAAAGTCTATTGCTAGCGTGACTGGAAATAACATGCTCAGCTCTACTTTAAGGGTCTGGTGAGAATTCAACAGATATTTCAATCAAATCAGAAAACTGTAGATATAAAATTGACCAAAACACTGAATTATTTAACACTGTAAACACTGGCATTGGCAAATGTGGATAGATCTACCACTGTGACCATGTTAGATGATACAGTACATGTCCTTGCCTTTCAATCTGTTAAATAACAAAATGAATACAAATGACCAAGACATTTTAACATAAAAATAAAGATATAAATTATGCCAAGGAAGAATTCTGTCAGTTCTGTATGAGTTTTTTCTTACAGATTTGCAGAAATCATCCATTTGCATGCATTACTGTCTCCCTGTAGGTTGACTGTCTCCGTCTCACACTAATATACAGAGAGAAATCTGATGTGATCTTTTTTAGTCGTGCTTCTGCAGTCTACCAGCCTTTTACTGTGAAAAAAACCCTGCCCAATGACTAGAGCTGTTCTGCCTCTACTGTTAGCCTGTTGAATGTCTGGGTGACAAAATTACCACTGAAAGGTTTCCCCTCAAGTCCTGCTCATCAAATAGTGAAATTGTTTGTAGGATCATTCTGATGTTTCCACAAACATCACTTTGGTTTAAGTTGCTCACAGTATAGTTATTTGTATTTGTGATTGTCAGTTTCAGAAACCTTTCTTTAAAAACAGGTCATTCTTTACTACAGCAGGGAGTGGAAAAAGAACCAAATATATTTTCTTAAAATAACTGTGCCCACTGCTTCTTCACGACACAGGCTTGACATTGTAAACAAAAGGGTGAAACCATTACATTGTCCAGTTCCTAATGACCGAGATAATGAAACAGAATGCTTCAAACACTAGGCAGGAAGCAGCTTTATAATACACATTATGAAGCTGCGTCATGAAAATTTTTTTCTTTTTTTTTTTAAGATCAGCACACAATCG